CACGCGCGAATCCGCCCGTGCGAGATTCCGATTCTCCAGGAGGTAGTCTAGTAAAATTAGACTTCATAAAAATTAGGAGCAAGCTCAATTTTTGTGGAGACCTTTATTTCGATGTTCTAATGAAATCCTGAAAAATACTTTTAATTTTATCGATCCAGAACGTTTTTTTATGGAGGATATATTTTAGTTTTTTGCCATTATCTCGAAAACTATCAATTTTTCGAGAAAAATAGTTATCATTAAAATTGTAGCTCATAAAATTCTCTACAGAAAAGGTCATTATACTTTTTTTCGTGGAATTAACCGTTTTGAAGATATAGAGTGAAAAAAACGCGGTGGTGTGGAAAGGAGTATATACGTATTTTTTACGAACTATAGACATTGCAACTTTACTGTTTTACTAAAAACGATTAGTATAACTTTTTTTATAGAGAATTTTGTGAGCTACAATTTTGATAATAACTATTTTTCTCGAAAAAATGATAGTTTTCGAGATAATGGCAAAAAACTAAAATTTATCCTCCATAAAAAATGCCCTGGATGAAGTTAAGAGTACTTTTCAGAATTTCATTAGAACATTGAAATAAAGGTCGTCACAAAAATTCAGCTGGTTCCTAAGTTTTATGAAGTTTTCAAGTCTAATTTTATTGGACTAGAGGGAAGTTTGATCTCGCGAGCGCGAGTGCGAAACAGAATTTGTTTTCATATCAAGAATTATCTCAATTTTAATACACTGAAAACAATTAATAAATATTTATTTCAATACGCTTAATAAATCATTTATTTGAAAATTGTTGGTTTCAAGTAAATGATTTTATTAAGCAGTATTAAAATAAATATTTATTCAAATTCAATAAATTTTTTTCAGTATATAAATAAAAAAAAAATTATAGAGATTCAAGCATTATTTCTATTGTAGATACTTTCGTTAGATTAATTATTAGAAAGTAATGAAGAATTTATAATGATGAAAATTACGACGAAATTTATGAAGAAATAAATTCTTTAATCATCCATAATTATCTCTCATAATTAAGAGCATTTTCTTAATTTTAATTAATAATATAATTAATTATTTCTCATAATTAAGAGCATTTTCTTAATTTTAATTAATATAATTAATTAACTCTTGTAATTAAGAGAATAATTATGTCTCGGTGCAAAAATATTGCAGTCGAGATGCAATTGTCATTATATGACACAACATTTCGATCTTCCATGACAGGACGGATCTAATAAATTCACGGAGCAATTAAATCCGAGAAATCGCAAATCGCATCTTCGAAACGATTTTTACGATCGCGTCAAAGTGCTACCGAAGAACGGTTTAAATTAGGGAACAAGAAAGGAAGGAGGAGGGACGCGTAACAATTATTGCACGTCAGCGTGCCTTTATTTCGGAATAATTAAGCGAGGCCCTTTTACACCTGCGGACTATATCCATGAAATCCGGTATCCACCCGTGACCGGACACAGGGGCCCGATTCGGGGGCCCGATAAGAGATCGATAAGCGGAGGGTAACCGCCTCCGCTTCTTCTCGGTAGGAAAAGGCGGAAGAAGAAAAACGACCGACGTCACGACATCGTGCGGCGCATTATGCAACGTGGCGAATCTGTAATTAAGATTTTCGCCGGCGCGGCGCTTCCCGATCTTTCTCTCGGAGAGAGGGAAGGCACACGCACGCGCTCTTATTAATTATTAATAAAGAGAATTACGCGTGGTCATCGCCCAGGTATTTCCAAACAAAAAATATTTTAAACGTGTAAGACGGCTGGCGCGACAACAAAGCCTGCAGTGAATCTGTCAAAAAGAAAAAATATCCGCCTACTCGCATAATATTTTAAGATCAAATAATTCTACTTAAAAAAAAAAAAAAAAACAAACGCTTATTATGCAAATAAAAATAATTGTCAGAAAGTTTTTTGACGAAGAAGGAAGAAAAGCAAATTAGGTTTTTTCTGATTTTAATAATAGGTTTTTAGTATATAATCATGTATTTTTAATATGAACACTGAAAAAATTATTAAATTAATAAATATTTATTTCAATACTGTATTATAAATTTTTAAATTATCAACTAATTTTTTTTACATCAAATCAATGTACTATTAGTTTTCAATAAATGATTTATAACGCAGTGTTGAAATAAATATTTATTAGAATTCAATAAATTTTTGTTTCAGTGTAGGTATATAAGTCATAACAATTTTTTAATTACTAATTATGATAATCTAACATAAAAATTAACAACAAAAATTTACAATTATAAACCAACAACAAATTGCAATAACGAGAATTGACTGAATATTTTTTGTTTGATAAAAAAGTTTTGATTTATTCTGATTGCATTAAAAAAATTTAATAAAAAATAATTATTAAATAATAATTATTAAAATTTAATAAAGAATAGATTTAACACAAAGGTTATCTGATAATATAGTAACTTTATTTTTGCGATATTATACAAATATTTCGTTCCATACGTTCAAATAAATCATTTATTTGAAACAAATAAATATTTATTTGATATGAAAAATATTTATTTGATATAAGAAAATCCTTGTTAAAACAAATAAATATTTGTTTCAAATAAATGATTCATTTAAACGTATTGAACTAAATATTTGTTAATTCAACAAACTTTTTTTTTAGCGTACACATTTTTAAATTAAATTTGAAATTGTAAAAATTTTTACTTTGCAACGTAATTTTATTCACTTTGCGGGGAATTATCCATTAAATCTATTAAATTCAATAAAAAAAATATTTGGTCTTCTTTCACATTTGCATCGGATTCAATGAGTTGGCGCGACGATGCACCCCGTTTACGTTTTAACTGCGGCTATTAATGCAAAATTGCAGTCTCGTCTGCGCTCCAGGCTCGTTATATTACGAGGGCAAAAGAGAATCATTAAGCAACGAGGCTTGAGCACGAATCTTCAAACCCCGTTTCATGCTTACTTCTTGGGGTCTCGCTCACGATAATCGCGTTTTCGCCGCGTTACTTAAGAGCGCAAATTACATTACGCCCCGCAGCATCCAATCGGCAATACGGATCGAAACTGCCGGAGTTACGTTTAAAGTTTAAAGGTGTCTTCACATTAAAATTTTCATTTTTACTTCGCATCATCGCGATGATGTCAATCCATTTCTAATATCAAATTATCCCAGTGTTTTTTCAAATAAATGAACATATATTTGGTAATAATATATATGTGCTTAATTAATTTTAATAAAAATTAAATATATTTAATTATATATATATATATATATATATATATATTATTATATATATAAATATATAAAGATATATAATATATGTATATATATATATAAAATAGAGAAAATATATTTATAATATATAATATAGATAAATATATATCATATATACTTATATATATATATATATATATATATAAATATATATCATATATACTATATATACTTATATATATAGACATATATACACATATACATATAATATATACATATATACATATATACATATATACATATATACATATATACATATATATGTATGTATATATGATATATATTATATATATTTTATATATTATATATGTATATATATATATATTAATATATATATTTATTTATATCAATATAAATAAATTTATTTATATATGTGATATAATAAAAGGCCAACTTAACGAGCTTATATGCTATTAATTGAAAAATTTGTTTATTAATTTACTTCATACTATACAAAAGTTCAGATAAACGTTTCGACTGTACGACAGTCTTTTTCAATATTCTAATAATATGTTAAAAAAATTAATTTAGTCATTTCGACATCATAAATAAATACAACAATTATAAGATTATATGACGAACGCAGTACAAATTCATTTTTGTTGGCATGAGTTCGAGCGTCAGATGCTGTTATATTATGTAACCATTTTTGTCAACGAACATACCACTTTTTTAAAAAATTATTTCTTTTTACTTAACATAGTCACAATGTGTACTTTTTAAAAAACAAGAGACAGATATCGATTTAAAAACAAATCGATATCTGTCTCTTGTTTTTTAAAAAAGTACACATTGTGACTATGTTAAGTAAAAAGAAATAATTTTTAAAAAAGTGTTATGTTCGTTGACAAAAATGGTTACATAATATAACAGCATCTGACGCTCTAACTCATGCCAACAAAAATGAATTTGTACTGCGTTCGTCATATAATCTTATAATTGTTGTATTTATTTATTATGTCGAAATGACTAAATTAATTTTTTTAACATATTATTAGGATATTGAAAAAGACTGTCGTACAGTCGAAACGTTTATCTGAACTTTTGTATAGTATGAAGTAAATTAATAAACAAATTTTTCAATTAATAGCATATAAGCTCGTTAAGTTGGCCTTTTATTATATCACATATTTTAATTGTATACGAGCCGAAGTTTAATTTATAAAATATATAAATTTATTTATATTTATATTAATTATATTTAATCTCGGTACATCGAGAGCTAAAAATAAAATTTCCACAGCTGAGCAAAGATGGATTTCAGGCGTTCTAAATTTATATTCAAGTCGCTTGTTTGTCAACAAGTATCGTAGACCGATATCTGACCAAGACAAAAAGCAATTACGGTTTGGTCATAAAATATGCCATTAAGAGCAACAGCTAATATTCGCGATGCGAAGATAACGCGCGATTTATCCCAGAGGTTTATCTTCGTTTACAGCGTAAAATGAGTCGAACGTCGCGTTTGCATACGTATCCCACCTCGGGATCATCGTCAATCTAAATCGCAATCTTGACCCGATCAATTATGCGCATAATTGATCGATTCATTAAGGGTGCGTTCCGTTATGCACTGCAAGTACTGGCAGTACTACCAATAGCGTTCCGATATAGATAGCAGTGCACTGCGAAAGTACTATCATTAGTATATGACGTCATTAATTTTGACGTTATTTCCTGTTGCGATTACTGCAACCGGCGAGGTAAAGCACTCGCAGTAATCAAGATGGCTACCTCCATATGTACGGTGGAACTAACCTTAATAGATGCTGAAACTAACAAAACTTATAACGTTGTAGTGAATGAAGCAGACGCAGAACGAGCCAAAAATGGTAATTTTGCATTTCTATATTTAAATTTTTATGTATAATAATTGTTTGTAATGTATGTTCTTATAGTAAGTACGTATAATTATTACAAGATAATCATTAAATTCGTGAATTTCACTTTGCATTCTACTTTAATTTCCTTGAAATTTTAATTTACTAAATTAAATTTATATATTTTTAACATAGTTTTTTTCTTAAATTAGATATTGTAATATAATTCATAAATTTATAAAATCTTTTATGCTTTATCTTAATATTTATGTCATAGATACAATGTTTGCAACTACGTTGTTGGAGAATGCAAAACAATGCCAACAAATTTATAACGTACCTGATGATAATAATAAGGAAAATAAGAAATCTAGTCAAGGTATGTTCCAAATAGCATTTATTTGAGATAATTATATACTAGGATCTAGTGTAAAATATCAGTAATGTTTTCTGTAATATTCAGAACAGCATAATTGGACGAAGCAAGAGATAATGCTATTGTTAGATATATATACATCTAAAGAGAAAGATTTTCACAGTGGTAAGAATACAGTGAAGCATTGTTGGGAGTCAGTTGCTAATGAAATGCAGAAAATGGGACATGATATTAGTGGACAGAAATGTTGTATAAAATTTCAAGCGATGAAAAGGACTTACAAATCCATAAAAGATCACAACAAGAAATCAGGAAATAATACAAAAAAATGGGAATATTTTGAGGTAACTTTTTTAACTCTTATCTTGCATAATTTTATATCAAACAAAGATCTTATCTATATTTATATATATATACATATATATATATATAGATTTTTGTATAAATGATTTGTATATATATTTCAGCTTATGGATAAAATATTTAGTGAAAAACCATGGGTTGAACCATTAGCAGTTGCTGGTACAAGTTGTAATACTGACAGTGAAAATTCCTCTACAGAAGAAATTCGTGAACAATTAAGTAATAAAATAATATAGTCAGAAATAAATATTTTTATCGGCTCTCAATATAAAGAATATAAGTATGCTGCCTTCTAAGCCGGGCAATAGAGCCAAGGAAACGAAACGAAAAATTAATTAAACGGAACTGTATCTCAATTTGAGATCCCAAAGTTCCACATATAAATTAATTTCGAAACTTACATATGGAGAAATAAGCGAGAAAAATATAGGTCCGAAAAGTCGCTGAAGCGGGAATCGAACCCGCGTCTTTCACTTTCCGGGCGACTGCTCTTACCAACTAAGCTATTCAGACCCTTTCGATCCCATATTTTTCATTTGCCTTTTAAGTAGATGTTAGTAAATACCGCCGTGATTAGCCCAGGCGTGAATAAACTCAGAAATAAATATATTATAGTTTGTTGAAAATAATATAGTTTGTTCATTATAAATACATTTGTAATATTAATCTAACTTATAAAAATATATTTTATCTTTCCAAAGCGGCAGCAAGAAAAAGAAAATTAAATATAGACAAATATTTAGAAGAAATGTTAGAAGAGAAAAGATTGAAACGTGAAGCAGATAATAAAAAACACACAGAAAAGATGAAACAACTTGATGATATAAAAAGCTTATTAAAAAAGCTAATTGACAAATAGTTTTATATATGTTTAATTTTTTATTTTTAGGGCTCCGACACAATAAAAGGAATTTCTTGTTCTTTATGCAGGATTCACACAGCATAAAAATTAAATTTTCTGATTGGACATCGGACGTCGTACGTCGAATATCGGACGCTGTGTGAATCCTGCATTATTCCTTTCATTGTATTTAAGCTCTTATATTTTTGTTTATTAATGAATATGTTTAATGAATGTTGTTTTTTATGTTTATAGATGTTAGGGCCATTCCTACTGTGGAATGATCCCTATGTTAACAAATTTTGTTTAAATTTTGTTTAAATTTTATTTTGTTTTTTTAGTTTATTTGTACTTAATTTTTATTTAAAACATTATTAAAAATTAATGTTAAAAAGAATAAAAGATGAAACAGAAAATGAAAATGAAACTTTATGTAACTTTATGAAACTTTCTGTGATAGAATAAGACCTAAAAGACTGTTTTTCATAGTTTAAGTAATTTTAGGTATAAATTAATAAAAAAATAAGACAAATAAAATAGTTTTTATTTATTAATGGTATACAAATGGTATAAAGATTATAAATAAAGTATACATTCTTAAAAATATATATAATGTATTTTATATGTATATGTATTATACAAATAGTTGACGATTTAGAAGTGTTTGGGCGATAAAATCTCTTTTTTGTATGCCTTCTTCTTTAGTTGCACTATCGATAATTTCATGATTTTCATTTTGTCCATCATTAACAATTATAGGTATATCTATTATATCATTATGTAATAAACATATATTATGTAAAATGCAACAAGTTACTATATATTTTGGTATTAAGTCAGTCCTAGTCATTGGTAAAGTATCGAGAATACTTCTAAATCTTCCTTTTAATAATCCCAATGACCTTTCTACAATCATTCGTGAAGAAGAATGTATTTTATTATAATTTGTTTGAGTTTCTGTCAAATGCCCATTATCTCGAAAAGGTATCATAATGTATTTTTGTATTCCATATGCAGAATCCCCCAATAAGTGACTATTTTCAGGAAAATTTTCCTCTGTGCACATATTCTGAAATCCTGATAGTCTGAAGACTCTCATATCATGTACGGACCCAACTTGTCCAGCATAACAGTGAATAAATTTTAGACTTGAATCACATATAACCTAAAAAATATTTATTTATAATAATATTAAGTTTATCCAATTCACACACACACACACACACACACACACTTTTATGTACCTGTAATTGTATTGAATGATATCCTTTTCTATTTATATAACATTCGGGGTTCTTTTTTGGTGCTGCTATTTTTATATGAGTACCATCAATTGCACCTAATACTTTTGGGAACCCATATCTATTTTTATTGTTGTCCATGTAGCTGTGACTTCTTCCAGGGATGGCCATTTTATAAATGTATGCAAATGGTAGTATAAAGCATTGACTACTTTCATAACACTTCTCCAAGCTGTTGCTCTTCCAATACCAAATCGATCACTTACACATCTATTACAAAAATATTCTAGGTCAGATTTTTTTAACATTGTAATTATATACTTAAAGAAAAAAATAAACTAGATAGAAAAATTTTATATATAAAATTATGAAATATTTACCTGTATGAATTGGGTGTGGCCATCATCCAAATAGCTATTAATAATTGCTTCTCAGGTGTTATTGGATGACGCCCGAATTTTTCTGAGTGTTTCTGAAGATGAGGAGTTAATAATTCCAACACAAATATAAATGTTGCCCGTTTCATCCTGTACAAAGTACATGGCTTTTTATAATTTCTGATATGTAATATTTTATATTTTTGTATTTTTGTTTAATACCTTACCGAAAATGGGTTTTAAATTCCATATCTGAATATAATGATACAATATTTTTAACGTAATTTTTACATTTTATTCTAGGTATTTTAATTTGTCGTCTCATTTCATTTATTAATTCCATTTCCAAATCGCTTTCACTTGATGACTCACTCGAATCATATATATTCTCGATTAAATTATATGTAATTAATGCAATAACGGTATTATCCATTTCACCAATTTTTCACTCGATGATTATTAGCGAAAAAGGTTAGTTACAAGTCTGCTGAAAGCGTACTGTAGTGCGTTCCGTTTTACTATTTTGCAGTAGCTTCAAAGTGCACAAAATTAAAAAGGAACGCTGTCAACAGTACACTTGCATGACGTCATAGTGCCAGTACTTGCAGTGCATAACGGAACGCACCCTAAACGTCACAGATGTCGTTCGCCGACACCGTGACGTGTGTGAACGCAGCTGCAGCTCTCCTCTCTGCATCGGAAGAGGACTCTCCTCTCCAACGAGTCCCTCGAGGCTCGTATAGGAAGATATACTCTGAGCAAACACATCGAAAGCGGATATCCTTTACCGGGCGGACCTCCGCACGTGCATCGCAATTTATATTGCGTTTTATACCGTCGTTGCACTTTGCGCAAATCTGAGGCACTTTTAATGAACAAAAATTAATGGCAAATATAAGAGCAATAATTTAAACTTTAATCGATTAAATCTCTACATATTATTCCTAAATATATCTAATTATTCGTAAATATAGCTAATATCAATAAATATATCTAAATATATCGTAAATATATCTAATAATAAGAAAGAGAAATTTTATTTTAATTTTATATATAGAGGGTGTACCTAAATAAGTACGAAACATTTTAGATGATTCTTTGTCGAAAATTAATAAGGGAGGTTTCTTATATAAATGTATACTTTGCTAAAGAGGGAGGTAAAAGTCAAGTTTTTATTTTAAAAAAGTATTAACAAATATTCTTTTTATTAGTGGAAAATATCCATCAAGTTTCATTTTTTTAATTTGTCTGAAATCAAAATTTAATTTTGAGAAACCCTCCTTAATTTTCGAGAAAGAATCAACTTCTAAAATTTTTCGCATTTGTATAATTGTATAAATAAATTAAAGAGTACACTTAAAGGTTATTATGCACATATGCAGATATTTAAATGCTATCTGATTATAGATTAATTAAAATTTAAAATGTAATCCTCTATAATCTTAATAGTTTCGAATTTTTATTTATATAATTTATATATAAATTAATGAATTCATTTAATAAATATAAATATATAAATATAAAAATATATAAATATAAATATAAAAAATAATTTCATAGTGCGAGAAATTTAAAGATGCAAAGAAGAGAACTGAATAATTAGTAGTGAAGATAAAAAATAAATTACGAACAAAAAAAAATCGGAAATGTCGCGAATGAGATTAGAATAAGGAACTACCAAAGTAGTTTGAGAGAAATTGCACCTGATGAAAAAGAGGAAAAATCCGCAGGGGAACCGGCTGCGTCTATTCGGCGCAACAAGTGCATGTAGGATGCACTTAGAGCTCAGCCGGAGGAGGGACGGGGAAAAGTGAATTCAAAGGGGTGGAGAAGAGAGAATAAGCGGCGGAATAAAATGCACGAGGCGAGGGAGGGGGAGGGAGGGGTTCCAGCAGGCGGGAAAGGGCACGAGGTCGGCACGCGCCGAGTGCAACGATTCGCTCCGCGCGAAAGAGGGAGAAGAAAGAGCGAAAAAGGAAGAAAAAGGGAGAAATCGACCGAGAATCCTCCTCTCGCGTCCTTTTTGTTTTTTCGCAAACGTGTTCGCGCGTCGAATTTATGGGCGTATATATATATAAAATATGTAATATATAAAATATAATATATAATATATAATATATAAAAATATATAATATAAAATATATATAAATATATATCATATATACATATATGTGTATATATATATATATATGTATATGATATATATTTATATATAATTTATATATTACATATACATATATTATATATATTTATATATATAATATATAAATATATAAATATATAAATATATAAATATATAAATATATAAATATAAATATATAAATATATAAATATATAAATATATAAATATATAAATATATAAATATATAAATATATAAATATAAATATAAAAAATAATTTCATAGTGCGAGAAATTTAAAGGTGCAAGGAATATATATATATATAGTGCAGTTTGAGTGCAGGTAGGTAAAGTGCATCCGGGGATGACTTACCGGACTGCACCGGCCGCGCAGGGGGGCTCGGCTACCCCTTTTCTCCCCCTGGTGTAAATATATATATGTATGTGTAACCTGCGAGAGCCTGCCGACCTCATACGTCACGAGGTGCAGCGCGGCCTTGTCATGCAAATGAGAAAAGTGCAATTGAGTGCGCACGCGCCCCGTATATGTATGTATGTATACAAAATGTGTTATGCGGAAATGCAAGCGGCGCCTTGCAAGCGTTCTTTCAATTCGTACTATATACGTGACGACCGGTACATGCTCCAATGACTTTTAAAGCGCTCGGTGCAACGTTCCCTTTTTCTTTTGAGGTGCCACTTGTCGTCCGAAATGAATTACCAACACTTATATACGATATGGAATTGATTGACCTTATGCAACAAAAATATGTGATGCGTATTTTATTTTAAAGATATTTTTTTTTGTTATTTTTACTACGGTGAAAATTATTCTCGAATTTGTTGTAAATGTGTAATTTTTGCACAACAAATAGTCGTTTATTTTATACACTGAAAACAAGTTTGTTGAATTAACAAATTTTTAGTTCAATATGTTCAAATGAATCATATATTTGAAACAAGTAAATATTTATTTGATATAAGAAAATTCTTTGAAACAAATAAATATTTATTTGTTTCAAATAAATTATTCATTTGAACCTATTGAACTAAATATTTGTTAATTTAACAAACTTTTTTTCAGTGTATTTAAAAATAGCAATTTTTTTTTTAAACATTTAAATTTTTTCCAGCACTACAGGATATTCCAAAATCACCGGGTGTTTTTTTAATAGCAAAATTATCGAGGTACAAATAATTTTCATAAATTTATTAAAGGTGAAATGATCAAGAAGAAAGGCTTTTCAATTAAATTTGGTGACGTCAAATCTGCATCATACTATTTTCAATTAATTTCAGGTGAAATTTAATTTATTTTAGTATTATAGAATTTTAATTTTTAAAACCTAATTACTACATAGGTACATGATAGAAAAAATTAAAAATTTGTAAAAAAAAAAAAAAAAAAAATGATTTTTCTTGACATGTTCGCTTAAGAAAAAACCAATTTCAAATTGACCAGAAAATTTGTTTTTGAAGGAGAAGAACACTCTGGTGATTTTGGGACACCCCTTCAATATAAATCGCAATAAAAATATAAATCAAATTATATGGATCTATAATATTTATTAAGAATACACTGAAAAAAATTATTAAATTAATAAATATTTATTTCAATACTGCTTTATATAAATTATTTATTTGAAACAAACATTTATCTGTTTTTAAAAGATTTTTAAATCTGTTTTTTCTTATATCAAATAAATATCTTTTCACATCAAATCGATATTACTAGTTTCAAATAAAAGATTTATAAGGCAATATTGAAATAAATATTTACTCGAATTCAATAAATTTTGTTCAGTGTACTGAGAGAAGAATACGGAGTAAAATGCATAAAAATAAGCTTAAAAAATGATAAAAATGCCGTAATTCCGATAAAAGCGAAACGCAAGCAAACCGAGGAACAAGATAAAAATGAATCCGTCCGGTGTCGACTGATAGTTTTGTCAGAGAGTACTTTCAAGCTGTCGACTCGCGCGCTCATTCGACTCTCTGAATGAATGCACGCACGCACGCACGTACGAAATAATGCGCGCATTGCACGTGTTTGCATTGTACGCAGATGCGCCGCAAAACATCGAGCTCTCTCTTTCTCTCGGACGAGAGTCTTGCGGTCGTCGCGAGACTCTCGCCTGACATATGCGCGAATGATACGTGAAACGATTCGCACCACGTGCCGACACACGCGAGAGAGCAATCGTAACGTGCAGTTGTCAATTGACGCGATGCGCATGTGTCGACATGCAGGCCGCAAAACAATTTCTGGGAATTTGTGCATCGAGTTAACCTGAGAATTTGCGGAGAATATCGGAGCAAAACATACGTGCATTTAATATAGCGCAATATTTTCCATTTTTTCATATATATGAAAAAATATATAAAAAAAAAATATATATATATATATATATATATAAAACATATGTTATGTATATTTTTATTATTTATGTTGAATTTTTTAATATTATTTATATTATTATACACACATTTTTATGTTATATTATAATTAAAAAAATAAAAAAATTATAAAATTAATAAATATCTATTTCAGTACTACCTAATAAATCATTCATGTGAAACAAAAAATATTATCTGTTTCGAAAAGGATTTTCTTGTATCAACTAAATACGTTTCACATCAAATCAATATTATTAGTTTCAAATAAGTGATTTATTATAGGCAGTATTGAAATAAATATTTATTCAAATTTAATTAATTTTTTTCAGCGCAGAAATGAGCAGTTATAGGATTTTTCTCTTGTTTAATTAGATATATATATATATGTATATATTTGTGTGATTATATATGTAGAAAATAATTAGAACGTGTCTCAAGTAATCCTAATCCTTACTGCGCCGCAGGACATATATTATATTTACTTCTCATTAAAGTAATTAAATCCTATTAATGCATGCGTCTCAGTTCAATAACAAAAATAATAAAACACGGATACAAAATGGATTGCAATTAGATTAAAAGCGCGCACGGAAGAGGTTGATTATTAAAATTATTATAATATTATTATATATTATTATTATTATATTATTATATTATATATATTATATATATTATATATTATACTATTATATTATATATATTATATATATTATATATTATATTATATATTATATAT